GTGTACAACATGATACTTTAATCTATATATGCATAATTTTGATAATGTACCCCTACAGAGTTCTTTTCATCCCACTCAAATGCCATTTCAGACCTTTGTAAACAGGGGGTGTCACCTTCAAAATTCTACCTTTACACAGTTCCTTCTCCACAGCTTCATCAGTCCTGCACTCTTTCCCTCCCATTTCAATGAAAGAACTACCTCCCTTTCTCTGAGGCCAGTCTTTTCATCTTTTCTCCCTTTTCATTCTGCAATGCACACACCCCACCCACCCTCAACTTGCTCAAGGACCTTGCATCATCAAGCTCTATGCTTTATCTATACATAAATTGTCTCATCTCTCTCCTGTAGTTAAAGCAAAGCAAAATTAAAAAGACTTTTCTGGTTCCTCATGCTCTACTGACTCCTTCCCATCACATCAGACTGGCAAAAATTCAAAAGACTGTCACAGACTAGGGACATAGCTCAGTAGTATAGAGCTTGCCTAATATGCATGGGAGGATGTCGCTTTGGCTTTGCCTATTCAAAATATTAAATGTATAAATATTTTATTTATTTATTTTTAATTGATGTGATAATTGTCTATATTTATGAGAAATAATTTGATATTTAGGTCTATGCATTCTTAGAAAGATTCAGTTTAGCTAATTAACATACCTATCATCTCACCCATTTATTTTTTTCTTGTGGTAAGAATGTCAAAAATCTATTCTTGGGCTGGGAATATAGGTCAGTGATAAAGTGCTTGCCTAGCACATGAAAAGTCCTGGGTTCCAACCCCACAACCACAATATATGTATATGTGTGTGTGTGTGTGTGTATATATATATATATATATATATATATATATATATATATATATATATAACAATTTTAAGTATATTCTACATTATTATTAAACATGGTCACCATGTAGTGCAATAGATCACTAAAATATACTCCTCCAGTCTAATTGAAACTCTGTACTCTTTGATCAACATCTCCCTGACCCCAAAATTCTCCTACTAGAAAGCCAACCCTCAGAAATACTTGTGTGTATATATCCTTAAGTATTATGCAAGGATATTCATTGCAGCCTTGTGATTTGGACTAGGGTCATAGGCAGAGGAGGTAGAGGCATGTGGCAGAATACATGACACAGTCTGAAGATCAGATTGGCAGGACTTCCTCATGAATTAAATGTGGCAGTGGTGTAAGAAAAAGAAAGAAATGAAGGGTGATCCCATGTTCTTGGGTTAAGCAATAAATGGATGATGGTGCCATTTTACTAAGATAAGGGAAGCTAAAGGAAAGGGTTGAGAATGTGAATGCAATGAGGAGTTGTTTCAGCTATGTTATATTTGAGATATTATTAAACAGACAAGAAGAGATGTCAAATAGTTCAGTGAAGATATGAAACTAATGCTTATAAGAAAGGTCCAGGTCAGAGATATAAATTTGGGAGTGATATGTACCTTGATAGATACTATTTAAAGCTTTGAGGCTAAATGAGAGCCTCCAGGATCAAGAAAACTCCACTGACTTGAGTTCTGGGTAACTCCAAATGTTTGAAGTTTATGGAGAGATTGAGTAGTTTCTTGTACAAACTTGAGTTTGTACAAGTTCAAAAGTTCAAAAGAGATTGAGTAGTTTCTTGTACAAACTTGAGTTTCAAAAAAATTAGCATATATTAAATGGTAAATATTTACCACATTTTCCAGGGCTCAATTCCTTCCAAGTCTGTTTTTTAAATTTTTTTATAGTTGTAGATGGACAGAATGCCTTTATTTAATTTGTTTGTTGTTATTTGGTGCTGAGGATTGAACCCAGTGCCTCACACATGCTAGGCAAGTGCTCTACCACTGAGCTACAGCCCCAGCCCCCCAGTCTATTTTTTGTTTTGTTTGTTTGTTTGTTTGGTACTGGAGATTGAACTCAGAGGAACTGAACCACTGAGCCACATCCCCAGCCCTATTTTGTATTTTATTTAGAGTCAGGGTTTCACTGAGTTGCTTAGAGTAATAGCTGGCTTTGAACTCACAATCCTCCTGCCTCAGCTTCCAAAGCCACTGGGATTACAGGCATGCGCCACTGCACCCAGCACCAAGCCTGTTTTGAAGGGATTCTGGCCTTTTCCTGAACCTTTCAAAACACATTTAAACAAAATAGCACTTTTTTGTTTTCTGTCATACAATGGTTTTCCCACTTACATAGTCCTCCTAGTATAGAACCTAGTATAGAATTAGTCAAGTACTACACAAGTCACACTCAGCTATTGCTTTACCATAAAGTTTATAATTCAGTAACTATCTCACACCTCAAAGGCTAAGGGTGACTTGAGGCCAGAAGCCTAATTTGTGGCATCTATTATTCTTTTGAGCAGTTCACTTCCCTGTTGCATAGTAACTTTCTTCAACCTCTTCCTGACCTTGCCAAGTGCCCAAAAGGCCTCAGGACATCTGACAATCCACACCCCCTCCTCCCAATGTGCAGCCCTCATTCCTACCACCAAGAAGCACAACATCTTTGCATTTTTACTTTTAAACTTTAGAAGTTTCCATCCAGAGACCCATGCTTTAGAAAAAGAGAGAGGAAGCACTTCCAACTAGGTCAAAGTTGTCATCAGGAATGTAATCTCAAAGCAAAACTCTGTAGAAGGAAAGCTGTAAGAGAACTGGGCCTGGGGCAACCTTACACCTGTAGGGTGACAAACTGGGCAGGTTTAGTTTCAGGCCCAGGAGCATACAAAAGAGTACCAGTTCCTAGAATGTGAATGTCATTCATTAATTCATTTCACAAATATCTGTATGCACCAATGATATCCTAGGCACTGTTTTGAGTCCTGGGGTCTACCAGTGAATACAACAGACAGCAGTCACTGTCCAATTGAACTTTATGTTATGGAGGGGGGGGGAAACAAATAATAAGCAATAATAAGGTAGGGAAGGAATATAAAGAATGTTCAGGAATGGGTTGCAAGTTTAAATACAATAGTCATGGAATGCCTTGCTATGAAGGTAACATTTCAATACAAATTCCCAACTATGGGGATTCAAGTGCCTCAAGATGGTGTTTCAATCCCATCATCACCACACGTCAACCCCCTTGAAAGCATAGTATCCCCAGTTCCTAGCACAGTTAATCTCCTGTGCTTAAGACAAAGGGAGTTCCAACATCCAGACCTTGCCTTTAGAAAGGTTACAACCTGCCAAGTGCAAAAACAACCAAGAGTGGTGTTAAGGGCTTTATTGAGGAGTTAAAAAATTGCTTTAAACAGGATAACTAGTAATTCTGCTTGCAGGAAGGGAGTGTATGTTCAGTAAGGTTGTCACAAAGGAAGTGACTTTAGAGCTAAATCTTGAGAGATGAACAAGAATTAATGGCAAGGATAGGGGTATGGGTGACAAATCAGCTTTTCAGGAAGAAAAACAAAAGAAAACAGTTTGCTGAAATTCCCAGAGCTGGAGTTGGGGAGGACATCTTCCCTCCCACTATTATGGCCTAAGATACTCTATTCATCCCATAATAAAACAAGTACACCAACACCCTCATGCTCTAAGGAATGGATGTGGGGAAATTCTTATCACTTGCCACCCCATTATTTCTCCCCTAGCCATCAGGAGATGATGAAGCTGAGTCAGGTGTACATCCCTAGAATCCAGGGTCATGTTCTCCTAACTTCAGGACAGTTAACACTGAGTTAAAAGCCCAAATTTCATTCATCCAGGTACACTCAATATGGCAAGCAGCCTTGCCCTGGAAATGAAGAGGGTAAGACATTTAGTGCTATAAGTAGTCCAAAGCCCCCACAGTGCACCTATGATGAAACTAAAGGCCAAAACATATGCTTGAGCTTAAAAGAGAAGTTTCTAATTACTTAGTCCTCACCCCTGAGCTATTAGTGTTCCTAACATCCAAGACAGTAGTGATAATGTGACCGGATAGGAACATAAGCTGTGCCCCCATCAGAGAGTGATTTAGTGCAAGACACTTAACCTCCAAATCTCCATCATCCTGGTTATAACTGTAAAGTACTGCATTGAGTTATCTTGAGAATTGTATGAGATAATTATTATGTAAAGAACTTATTATCATGCCTAGCAAAAAATAAGTCTAACAACCACTATCAGGAGCAGACTTTACGGGGAAATGCTCAGAGTATCAACCAGAATGCTATATACACTCACTGATAAATTACCCTAGAACAGGCCTCCAAGCTCCATGTCACTGCTTTAACTTAGAGTAAAACATCTGAAATTGTGTTACCAGAAATATTCATCCCCTACCCAAAGAGCCTCATAAGTCATCAGTGGGCTTTTTCTACTAGCATTTTTTTGAAGGGGCTTACACACACACACATACACACACACACACACACACACACACACACACACACACGGGGGGGGGAAGAGAGAGAGAAAGAACCAGAAATTTTATTAGGGCCACAACTCTGCAATAGACATAGTTATTGGGGGTAAACAGTTTAGAAATAGTTTAGGTCATTATTCCCTACAAGTAACGGATTTATGAGTGGTGGGGGTGGGGAACTGAAAGAGCAGAAAAGAAGCCAGTTAAAAATAGGAGGTCCAGGAAGTACTGAAGACTAATTTCTGCCACAAATGTACAGGATCTAGGGTCACCCGGCCAGAAGCAATATCTGGAATGCTAGATCCTCTGGTCCTGAAGAAGCAGAATACTAGGGGAAGAAATGGTTAGTGAGGAACTGATTATTTTTTAAAGCTACCAGAATTCTAATCGATTTATTTCACCACCAAAACCCCATCTTATCCAACATTAAGGGCAGGAGAAATACCTTCTGCCCTTTACAAACCATCACAGAAGATAGAAGTGTTCTATGTCCCTAGTGTGGGCTCTGGATGTGCTCCCCCAGGAGCAAATCACCACAGCCTGCTTGACAGGTAGCAAGATAAAGCAGTTCAGCCCCAGAGCACAGATCTGGGACCCCATTCCCAGGCGCAGAGAGCTCACTGAGGCAGAACCAACCGGCTTCCCGCTTTTACCTGTGGATGACCAGCTGAAGACAGGGAAGCCAACGCCTCGAGGTCTGAGCACAGACAGGGCAGGGCAGAGACCCCTTGCGACTGGGGAGCGCTGCGAGAGAAACCAAAGAAAAGGTGACAGGACGTCTGGAGTACAGTTCCCGCCAGGAGCTCGGCCCCACCCCCGCCCACCCGGCCAGCTCTCTGGAGTGGCTCGGCTGGCGGGAAAAGTCTAAGCACACCGCGCCAGGGATGACAGGGATGAGGCAGCACCTAGAGAGATATGGTCCGTGTTGACTACGTGTGGACTGAAGAAGTTCAAGAGAAAGAAAAGTGGCAGGAGGGACCGCCCCAAGCAGACGGGACTCAAAGCGTTGGGGGTGCGGTCCAAAGAGACCCACAGGACGGAGGGTACAGTCGGTCAGCTAAGGAGAAGGAAAGACGGAAGGCGGCTAGCGAAGGACTTAAGTCTCTGATATGGGGGTGGGGGCGTTTTAGCAGCAAAAAGGGGCTGGGGGTCCAGAAAGAGTCCTGGACAGAGGGCGAGGGGGCGGCCACTGGCTGCGGACTTACCTGTCACCTGCAACAAGTGCCGCAAGAGGGCTAGTCGTCCCAGTGTCGGATTCAAGGGAGGGTCTCTGGCTCTGGGAAGACCGCAACCCTGCGCCGGGCAGCTGGCCCAACTCACCCTCCCAGGAGGCGGAAAAAGCTGCAACTTTCCCTGGAGCGGGGAGGAGCTGGACTCTTAAAGGGGCCGCACAATGCTCCAGGCTCCTTAGGAGGGGGCCCACGCAGCCTGAAGGTGAGCCAAAGCCTTAAGACACTGGAGGAATGTCTTCCAGGGGTAGGAAAAGGAGCTCAGGGACTGGATCTCAAGCTAGACATGCTTCCTCCCCCGTTTACTTCCATCTGTGGTCACTCTTAGATGGTAATATCACGTACCTCTCTTCTCTTCAGCTGAGCCCAAAGTTGTCAAATTGTCCTGTATTTCTAAGAAAATAAAAGATTCTCAACTATATAATTTGGGAAAATAAAATATGTGGCATCTGATTCTTTGACTTTCAGCCTTTTATAACAAATATAAATACCCATCTAAAATAGAAATGTTTTGAGCAAAAGAACATAAAGTTGCATATTCGTGCTCTAGGACACAATTGATTAAAATACTCAATTCACTAGTAATAAAAGAAGAGAAAATTAGCACAATAATGTGATTATTTGGCAAACAATTTCGTGGGTTTTTAAAATAACATTTAATAATGACAAAATGACCACCAAACAAATTCTCTCAAAACTGCTGGTAGGCGTGTTTGTTGGTTTAAAGCCCTTTTAGAAAGCACGTGACAACTATGAATCAGTAAACTTTAAAATGTTTATATCTATGCAATAGTTACAAATCTCCCCCTTCTTCTCCCTCCCCTCCTTTCTTCATATCAGTTATTACACGTACTCAAGTCTCTCATCTCCCATCCCCAAATAAATCTGTTCAAGCCTCTATCCTATCTACATATGAGGCTCATCTTCCAGCAAATTTATTGAAAATGTATTTACATGTGTGTTTGCAACTTTCATTCCTTTATTTCTCATTCATTTTTCAGCCCCCAACAGTCTGTTTCCTTCCCCCACTGAAACTGTGCTTAACCAGATATCCAACCAATGACCTCTGATTTAACAAATCCCTCAACAAATAAATAACTAAACAGGGCATTATCAGCCCTTGTCTTTCTGGACCTGTCCTCTTCATTCAACAGTGTTAAACATTTCATCCTCCTTGAAACTCTTCCTGTAGCATCTATGACAACATTTTCTTCTGCTTTTCCTTCTACTACTTCAGTCTCATTTACAGGTTCCTCCTCTGCTATCTGATCTCTGAAAGTCAAACATTCTCAGGGTGAGAAAAAAATACAGTCTCTCCCTAAATGATCCCTTTCACTCACATAGCTTTAATTATCAACTATATGGCCACTACTGCAATTTTCTAATTCTACCCAGACAGCTTCTATTTTCTTGACATCTCCATGGGTATGTCCTATAGTTACCTCACATTCAACACATCCAAAGCTGAACCCACCATCATCAATTCACTTAAATTTACTATTTCTACAGTATTTTCTATCTCATTAAAAGACAGCATGTCACTCAAGGCACAAACCTGGCATCTAGCATAGTACCTGGCACATAGTAGGCCCTCAGTAACAATAATATAAGGAAAAAGAGATGTACAAAAATGTTTTGTCCAATTATGTTAATCCTAGTATTATGTAGAATAATAAAACCCTAGGGAAAAATAGCATGATTCAATGGTTGAATAAAAAGCATGATTCAATGGTTCAGTAAATTATGCTAAAGTCATAAAATGGAACATTATATAGACAAACTGATATTTCCATGTAGTTTATTATGCCAGGGAATGCTTATGTTATAACATTAGTTGAGAGTAGTATACACCATTTAATATAAAATATGATCCCAACAATTAAAGGATGGGATATGCATGGGAAACATTAGAAGGAAACATGCAAAATTTGTAAGTGGTAAAACTAAGTGAATTTTTGTTTTCCTCCTAATTTTCTGTGTTTTTCAATTTTCTTATAATGATCATAATGGCTTTGGTAATTTAAAAATCTTTTTGAAAAATCTTTAAAAGGCAAAAATCATTTTAATTCTTGCAAACAAAACAATAAAAATCCAGTCCCAGGCTCTGAAGCCTGGAAAACTCAGTTTTCTTTCATACTTTAGCCTCTCAGTACCCTGCCTCCACCCTGAAGTGTGAAGCAGCCACTTCAAAAAGGAAATCCTTTTGTTTTGTAGCTTTGCCAACTCAGACCTTGAGGGGGTGTTCTGCTATGTGGTCCACTCCCAAACAGGGACTGTGGTGACTCCTTTGCAAGTGGTGCTTGACAGGAGCTGGAAACATCTTCAGCCAGAAGTAACATCAGAAAACATTTAGCCCAGCCCCCTTATTCCTCAGTAAAATTTTGGTTTTACTTCTTTCTATGTGTGCAGTTTTCTCACTCTCCAACGTCCACTTCACTAAAGAGGATGTGAGAATCTGACTCCTCTAAGTGGATCTCACTGACCCAGTTACAAATCACAGTGTGTCAAACATCAACAATAAACCAAAACAAAGTTAGAAAAGTTAGCACATATTCTCTGCTTTGCAAACCGCTGTCTATTTCTATTGATCCTACTTGTCTGCCACAAGAATTCTGTGCTCAAATTTTTATATTAAATATTGTGAGAGGTCCAAAGCAAACAAGTCCAGGCACTATCCTGTACAAAAATATAAACAGGAACTTATGGATTATGATCCTACTTACAGTATGTAAACTCCTGTCTGTAGTGAATGATTGGATTCAATGAGTTGTTCAATTTTGCCACGTTGAGGATGTTCTGGCTACTGCAAACTTGAAAATATGGAGATTTTCCTCAGCTCCCAGAGACAGAATACCTCAATATTTAGCAATTTTTCTTTTTTAAAACTCTTAAGAGTTTCAAAAATACATAAACATATAGAGAATAATTTTAAAATGATATGCCCACTACTAAACTGAAGAAATAAAGCATTGCTAATACAATTAAATCCCCCTATGTTTTTCTCCATTGCAAGGATTTCACTATCTCAGATTTTAGTCTTGATCATTCTATGTGTATCTACATAACATTTACTATATATGTGTCTATTGCTGAACAATATGTAATACTTTACATAAATAGTATTACTCTGTAAGTACCTTCTGCAATTTGCTTTCCTCAATTTTATGCTTATGTGGCTTATCCTTGTTAATAGATATAGCTATAGTTCATTCATTTTCATTGCTACAAAGCATTCCATGGCTTAAAGATATTGTAATTTATAGTCTCCTAATTATCAGATACTTTATTTTTTTAAAAAAGCTTCTTTTTTAAAATCTTTATTTTCTTTATTTTTAAATGTGGTGCTGAGGTTTAAACCCAATGCCTCATATGTGCTAGCCAAGTGCTCTACCAATGAGCCACCACCCCAGCCCCTATAAGGTATTTTCTAATTGCCAAAGTTTTAATTCTGATTTTCAGGACACTCCCTTTTCATCTCATGTTGAATAATAGTTTACTTTAGTAAACAGAGAGAGAGAGAGAGAAAGAAAAGAAAAAAGGAAAAAGCAGTCTTCCTAACAAAGTAAATTTAGTGTACTAGTTGTCTATACTGAGTCAGTGAGTACAGGCTATAAAAATTAGGTGCAGTCTCTCAGTCAAGATGAGCATTTACCAATTTGCACACTATTGACATTTTTGACAGGATACTTCTTTGTTTTAGGGTGGAGCGAGCCATCCTGTACATTGTAGGATACTGAGCAGAATCTCTTTCATCTATCCATTAAATGCTAGGAGCTTTTTTCCAGTTGTGACCACCAAAAATATCTCCACATACTGATAAATGTCCCCAATTAAGAATGTCAACATTACTGATATGTTCCACAGGCAAAGCACTTCAGTAAGTGCTAAGAAAAGATAGAAGAACAAATGCTGGAAAAAAACATTCATTCAACGATATGTATCAATTTCTATGTGCAAAATATACTGTGCTAGGTAAGCACTGCAATTTGGGTGACCCTTTCCTCAGGAAGTTCACTGTTTATTGACTGGAGTGGGGAATAAGGGCAGGCAAATTATAAACATAAAATTATAACATAATTTGGAAAAGGCAAAGCTAGGGAGATACTCAGGATATGTGTGAATGCATAGGAAGACCATTTGCATCACCCTGGTAAGAAAGTAGACTGTGAAGAGTCCCTGGAAAAAGTAATAGCTTCTCTGAATCTTAAATATTGAGTAGGAATTAAGTAGACCAAAAAGGTAGAAAGGAATTCCAGGCAGAAAAAAATACCATAAGTCAAAGCAAAAAGGCTAGAATAATACTAGATATGTGCAAGGAACTACAGGTACAGTGGTGTTGTTAGAACATAGATATAAGGAAAAGGTGATGATAGATGAAACTAAAAAATTGTGTATTAGATTTTTAGGGCTGTCATAACAAAGTACCAGAAACTGAGTGATTTAACAACATAAACTTTTTTCTCACAGCTCTGGAGGCTAGAAGTCTGAGATCAAGATGTTTGTAGGGTTAGTTCTTCCTGAGGGATGTAAGGAAAAATGTGTTCCATGACTCTCTCCTAGCTTGTATGAATTTGGAGACACACTACTCATTACAGATATGCAGAGACTAAAATTTCAGAGACATTGTGAGTCGTGTTAAGAATTTTTGGCCAAGAATGGTGGTAGATGCCTGTAATCCCAGTGGTTTGGGGGGCTGAGTCAGAAGGATTGCAAGTTCAAAGACAGCAACAACTTAGCAAGACCATGCCTCAAAATAAAAAGCAAAAAAGGCTGGGATATGGCTTGGTGGTTAAATTCCCCTGGTTTCAATCCCTGGTGCCAAAATAATAATAATTTGGGATTTATTCAGTAGCTAATTATAGTCATCCATAAAGCCCTGGATTTCCCTGCTCTGCTATTTTTTTATAACATCACTCAAATCAGCTTTCATCCTTTTTATGGCTAAATATTATTCCAATGTATAGATATACCACATTTTTATATAATTATAAAATGATATTTAGGTTGTTCCTAAATCTTGACTGTTACAAGCCAAAGCAATCCTGAACCAGAAG